CAACCTTTGACATTTCAATGTCGGGGACTTAGTGTTAAGGAAGGTCACACTAAGTATTCGGAACCCGAACGAAGGGAAGTTGGGCACAAGACCTATTAGGCAGTGCCCAAACTTTAAAGGCTATGACCACCCCCATTCGGGGACTGTAATCTTGGGCAAGACCGGATAACTCGAGGTAACAAGCCCAATGGGCAACACCTGAACTAAAAAGGCCACGGCCATATTAAAATGGCTCGGAGACGTCCGAGACGCGTAACAAAAAACAAGGCCTTCAAAATTTCTAAACCGGTTCAAAAGGCTACCATCGGCAAAATTATCATCTAAAAGGTTCTAAGTATTTTGGGGAAAGCTTCCGATCATACCGAGCCCCCACGAATCGTAAACGAAATAATATCGAAAGAAAGGTCTATTCGATCCTCCGAACAAGACCTAATTATTAAGTGCTAAGGCATTTCGATCTTTGCAAACATAAAGAATAAAGCGAAGGAAAACAAACTTAGAAACTGTCGAAGGGAAAAAAGAAGCCTTAAATTATGTATATAAAAAGTCTTTACAAAGGCCAAACGGCCTTAATAAAAAGTACAAAAGTACAAAAATAAAGGAAAATGTACAAGGCACTTAAACGGCATTGGCTTTACCGGAGCCCGCCTCGTCGCCAGGGTCTTCGGAGCCCCCTCCATCCTCAGATCCGCTCGAACACTCGGAGTCTTCTTCATCCTCGGTATACGCCAACTTCTTGGCCTCAACTTCGAGTCCCTTATCACTCTCAATCTTAGCCGATACGTCAAAACCCGAGCATGAATTTCCTCGAAAGCCTCTCTTCGGGATTATCGCTTCGCGTGCTCGACGACATCTTTCAGTCGATCCTGGGCCGCCTCGGCATCGGCCTTATATTGAGCCACCATCTCATCGGCATCATCTTTGACCACCTAACCATCGACTTGGCCGTTTCGAGCTCCTTGGCAAGAGTTTCTTGATTGGAGACGACCGAGCTTAGCTGAGACTGGAGCTCATCAACTTTTTGGGCCCACACCTCGGCCTTTTCCTTTGATGCCCGAAGCTAGACCTCTGCCGAAGTCAGCTACGCCCGACCAGTCTCCTTTTCTGAGGCAAGGCGGTCCATCCTGCCTCTCCATTCTTCGGCCTTGACCTTAACTGCATCCATCTCAGCTCGGAGTTGGTCGATCCTATCGATCTTCTGTTGGACATACGGATTCCGACCATTAGTCACCTTGCCTAGCTCATCGTCACTAACTTCAAATATTTTTACCTGTTCAATCAGGTTAGCATGCTCCTTCCGAGCCACCTCTAGCTCAGCTCGGACGCTCTTAGCCTCCCCTTCACGCTGCTCGTTGAGGAGTTTGTAAGTATCTATCTTCTCAGTGAGCCCTCGGACCTCAGCTTCAAGATGGTTCAGCTCATCCCGATATCGAAGGAAAGTTTCATGGTGAAGCACCGAGGCCTACAGACACAAAAAAAAAATGTTAGGGTTATCTATGAATTAGTCTAAGTACGAATTAAAGGCATCAAGAGATATCTAAAGTTACCCAGTTTAGCGCCCGTTGTGCTTCGTTGAACATGCATGATGTGTCTACCTCATTCATCTTGGCTTGGTCTTCCTCGGTCATCAAACACTGAAGGTAACTGGCCACCTCTACGGGGGCGGAGAGGACCCCGACATCCTCCAGAATGGAGATGATGATGGATCGCTTCCGGTTAGAATCCACACTCGGAGCTAGGAACCGATTGATTAGTTTCGGGCTTGAGGAAGGTCCGCTTGCTCCCGAAGATGGACTCTTCTTCGGTATATCTAAGTCACCCAATCCGGTGATGTCCTCCGTGGCGGTGGAGTCCACACTATCAAAAAAGCCGCGGAAGGGGTCGTCCGCTCCACGAGCCCCCTCATTGGGACACTCTTTCACCGTTTGGGCCTCGTTATACATGGACTCAGTAAACGAGGGTGATTTGGTGATGGCTATCACACCGAGTTCTTCCTTCGGGGTACTGCCCACATCCTGGGAAGCCTCGGCCCCAGCCTCCTCATCGACCTCCTTAGCTTGAGGCAGGTCGGTCTCGAGATTCTCTGGTTCGGAGGCTCCTTGCCCTTCGAGTTGTGACGACACGCCGGCCATCAGGACAAAGGCTTCTTCTTCTTCTTCTTCTTCTTCTTCTTCTTCTTCTTCTTCTTCTTCTTCTTCTTCTTCTTCTTCTTCTTCTTCTTCTTCTTCTTCTTCTTCTTACTCGTCTCTCAGCCGGTAGAGCGAATTCGAAGGTGGTGCTCGGGCACCGGTGCTGTCTTTTGGTTTCTGCACCAGCCTTCTTCTTGTTTTCTTTTTCTCCGAGCTCGGGGAACTCAGAGCCCTCTTTATTTTCTTCTCTTCGGCCTTGTCTCGGAGCAGGGGACTCGGTAGGTAAGTCCTCGCTACCGGTTGGAGGCCTCAGTTCGGCATCTTTGGATAAACCTGCAAAAAGAAATAAATGGAGTAAGGACTTAATGTTAAAAAAGGAATCCAAATATTGCCTGCTTAGGAAAGGAGTCTCACCATGGGAACGGGCATCCCAACGACCCTTCGAGAGCTTGCGCCATGAGCGCTTGGAGTAAGGAATCTGTGATATGATACCCTCAACCCACTCCTTGAGTCGAGGGATAGCATTTGGGACCCAAGCGATGGTTGCACCGCCACAAAACACCGATTAGGAAGAAGGAAATACGTATAAAATTGACTTTCGAAAATAAAATTGTACTTACGTGATGTATTCTACTTCTCGAGGAATGGCATGCGCTCATCTGGGATTAGGTCCGAAGTCCTCACTCGGACAAAACGACTTTGCCAGCCCCGATCCCGATCATCATCAATACTCGAGGACGGGGCTTTGCTGGCCCTGCGCACGAGCTTTATCAGTCCCCCCGGAAGATTCGGGGACTGTACAAGCGTAGAAGATGGTCGACGGTGAACGAGCATCCATCGATTCTGCTCACGAAGAACCAGAGGAGTATCACGATCCTCCAGAGCGAAGGATAAATCTGACCGAGGCACACCTCGTACCACTTACAAAAATCAATGATGACCGGGTCCATCGAGCCCAATGTAAAGGGATAAGTATAAACACTTTGTTATCCCTCGACATGGGTGGTGATGACTTCATCGGGGTTAGGGATCACTATGCCCTTACCGGCTCAATTACAGTCTTTTCGGACCGTAGGGAGGGCTTCTTCAGTGATCGAGCATACGTATCTCGAGATCTCCTCACACCGACCCTGTACGGAGGAAGGTTTTTCAACCTTGAAATCGGCGTTGACCGAACATCCTCCGAGGTTGAACATTTTCAAAGGGGGTTTCCTTGACGACAGTACGCGAAACAGTCTCCCCGGCCTCAGTAGCCGGTCGCGAAGTAGAAGGGGTTTCTTTTTAGGGAACGGTTTTGGAAGTCTTTGCCATTTCTTTAAAAGATGGAGGAAAAATGGAGAAAGAATGGAAGTTGAAGGATTGCACTTGTTGGCTTGAGATGAAGATAAACAAGAGTTCTTGCAAAGGATCTCAGATAACTGGAGTAAAAGTGCTAGAAAGTATTGAAATTTTAAGAATACGAGGGATGAAGGTTTGGATGTAAAGTTAAAATGAGCAAAGGAAGAGGTATTTATAGTATTTCAGCGACGGTTCGCATCCAGGAATGGCCGACCGGCAGCTGACATGCATTTAATGCCATCAGGGCTTGACTCACGAGACGTTTCAGTTATTTTGTCGTTTCTGTCACGGTGTATCGAAGTGAGAATCGGAAGCTCATGTCGTTTCTCATCGTCTACTCTCCGAAAAACGAGGGGACTATCTGTATACGGTCGAAATCGAGCTCGTGGTGTATCCTAGCCTTCGACATGGCTAAGCCAGGCTCGAGACATGACAATAAAGGATTGAAGATCGACCCCAAGTTCCACCGGGCTAGAACTCGGAGATAGGACGCCTGCCTTCGAGAATATCGAGGCTATGATCTCGAAACCGGTCCTAGCCTCAAACGACTTTTAAGAAACATTGCCAGCATAGCCAACGGAAGACAGAAATATCCGTGACTGGCCGGATATTACGGCGGGAATCTCGGCACATACCGATAAAGAACCGGCAATTAGTAAATCAAAAGATTTTTTTTTTACCTTTTATAGAATTGTACCTAAAGTAGGACTCCTCTATTATATAAAAGAAGTCTGATAATTCATAAAATACATTGTAACACGCATTCCAAGGCAATATATCACTACTTTTCCTATTATTAGTTCTTCTGCTTTCGTTCATCAGTGCTTGTTGTTACGAGCCCAGATCGAGGGCAAATATTTCACTAAGGCTTAAATCGTCTTCCTAGTGTGGTTTGAGCTTACTTTATCCTTATTTATTTAGTTTGTCTTCATTTACTGCTTTGTGTCAAATAAATTCGCGTATCCTTAAAACCACTTAGAAATTTAATTCTTATCCGATTTTGAGGGTAAACAATAGTCAAAGGTAGATACACTTAAAATGTTCAAAAACAGAGGGCGTTTAAATTAGTTAAACAATTGAATCCTCAAACAATATGAATAAACCCTATGCCCCCTCTCCCACCCTCGAAAACAGAACGAGAGCAAAAGAAACACACCCTAAGGCATTGTTTAGGCTTTAGAATTCAAGTTATACACGCTGAAAGTATAAAGAGTTATTACCAGTGTAGTAAACTAATTATATAAAATGTTATATCAAATATTTCTTTACTCACTTTATAAGTGATGGATTATGTAAATATCTTTATATTGGCCTAAATTGTCTAAGGAAGAGAAGTATTTGAGTGGTATACATGTTTTGATCACTACAAGGCTCCTGATTTTCAGGAGCTTGGATAAGTTGATTCTGCAAATATTCGTTATAAACTTTTATCTAAAAGTATTCATCAGAAACAGCTCAAAGACTTGAAAAGAAGATAAAAGAATACAATAACAAACCCAAAAAATCAGGATTCATACGCGGTTTGGCCTCAAAAAAACAGGAAATATAATTTCAGTAATTGATCTCCAATTTTTCTCTCTCACACTCTCTCTATTTGGAAACAAAAGAGAGAAGAAGTGTTTGTCCCTGAGAGAAGTTGGATTAACCAATTTCCCAGTTGACTTAAGAGCCTTCCTATCATCTCTCATTTGCTCTGCACGTTATACAAGTTTTCTTTATCAATTTTCCTCCCCTTTTAAAAAAAATCAAAATAAACAAAATTAATAGTATTAATCTTGATTCTGAAATCTTGAATGCTCTTGTTCTTCTTCCCCCTCCTGCAATATTTTAATCATATCTATTATTACATTATTATCATTCAACAATTTCTTGCGTCATCAAATATTATTTCTGGTTTTTCAATTGTCAAAACCAAGAAAGTTGACCTGGTACAATCATTATTTTATTTCTTATTGTTGTCTTTTTCTTCAATTTTGTATAAAACTTGTCATTACTCGTTAGAAATGGCAATTGGGGCATGTTTTGGCGTGGCTCCTTTCTTTTCTCGCAGGAAGCATAGTACAATATTTGAGGTATTTTTTTCTCTTTCTTTCTTTTCTTCTTTCACTTTCTCTTAAAACTTCTTGTTGTCTGAACCTATTATGATCATGTTGAAGAATGTAAATTCTCCTACTTGTACACGAGTATCTAATATCATAAAATCTAAATTTGACATTCTAAATTTTGGCAATATTATCATGCAAAACCTCAAAGGTGGCAATGTTGAATTTGGAATCCTGTTGTTTAATTTCCTGGAAACCCAAGTAGTTAATCAATAGTATCATATGATCGAACAAATTAAGCAAATACAACAACGTATGACATAAAACATTTTTTCTGCTTAAGACACAACCTCAAGATATTTAGTAAATATAGTAATATCTGATAAATCCTTAAGACACAACCTCAAGATATTTCATCACAACTGAGTTTTTTTTTCTTTTTCTTTTTTCATGCAAAACTTGAAAGGTGACCATGTTGAAATTGGAAGATGATTTCTGGCAACATTTCCTTTTTTGACTCCACGTTTTTTTTTTCTTTCCGGAAACCCTAGTGCTTAATGAATTGTGTCATACGATGAAACAGATTAAGGAGAGAAAATTTCATACAACCATAAATGTTGCTATATAATTTTTGTTAAAGAAATATAACAGCCCAAGGATAATGTTATCCGAGAAAAAACTTGAGAAGACACCACCTAAAAGTTTTTCATCAATGAAAAAGAAAAAAAATGATCCTTCACCTCTATTTGGACATATTTACCATGTTTATGTCACAGATGTGAATTATGATCTAAGGCAAAGAAACATAGAAAATTGGTATGTTGGGTATTATTATATCACTAACAGTAATTAACAAACATTTGCAGGAAGAGGACATGAAAGAGACAAAGAAAAGACCTGTTCTTGAAAAAAATAAAACACCTGCTATCGCAATATCAAAAAGTTTTAAATCAACAAAAGGTTCCACAGTGCGCAATTCATGTAGAGTAGCAGGAAACTTCATAATAATGACTGAGCTTCGGAACAAGATCCTCACCTTGAGAGACTTGCTTGACTTGTCTCCTTGTATTGGCTCTGCATCTGTAAATGAGGTATTCTTCTATTACTTGTCTTCAAAACTCAAGCATAATAACATTTTTTGAAAGGTTTTAACTTATATACACGGATAGCATAATGAATTTTTACACCTTCACTATACTTCAACTGGTCATAGCAGGTTAATATGATGATGTAAAAACTTTACACTGTCAGAGTACAGAAGTTAAACTCTTAAAGAAAAAGAGCAAAGCAGAATTTGGTAACTTCTATTGTGAATTTTTTTCCACAGCTACTGATTTTGACGCTGAAAGATCTGCAACAATTGTATCCTTCAATCAATCCATCTATTTCTTTGTCAAAAATTGATGGAGCATCGATGCATCAGGTTACTTATTTACTCCACTGTAATGAGCATTACAAATTCAACGTTTGCTTTAGCGCATTCACAGTTCACTGTGCTGACCTAATTCTTACATTTCTCAGGCACTGCAATGCTTTTTTGATACTATCATATCAATTGGGGAAATGTGGACAGGCAATGATGAGTGGATGGTCAAATGCAAGGAGGATTCATTCAGTAAACTAGACAATTTAGAATACTATGGTATGTCATATGTTTATTGCAACACCAAATATCTATTGGGCACTATTTATAAAGACCCTAATGTTTTCTCTCAATTATAACCAATTCAGGAGTGTTATTGCTCGAAGACATGATTAAGCTAGCGAGTGAAAGGATGTTCGATATGATGGATGATGATGAGGATGACGATGACCGGATAAGAGATGAATGTCCATCATTCAACACATTTGGAAGGGTTCTTTCTGAATCTTACTCGAGCGCCAAATCCTCCCTCTCGAGCACTCCAGTCACCCCAACTTCAGTTCTTCCTGGGTTAATGAGCAATGCTTCAAAGAAGAATACAAAGGCATCATACTCTCCACCTCTTCTTCTGCCACTCAGGGTTCAAGCAGTTGGCAAGCTGAATCCTATTGATGTAAAGCGCCTCTCTTTCCACATGTTCCCTCATGTAGCAGCTCAAGATCCAAATTTTGTGGGTCAGATAACAAGCACAGAAGCAAAGAAAGATTCTGAAGTGAAAGCCAAAGATGATCATGAATTTGGGCAAGATTGTGAAATGACAGACATGCTGGATATTCTACTGACTAGTATGGATGATGAATCAGAAAATAAAGGAACATATAAAACTGGTGCTAAAAATACACCAGTGTCAGGACATGTTACCTTGGATGTGCTTTTACCTCCTTCATCGCTTCCTTCATCGCGAGCAGAGCCACAATCACCGCTCACTTTATCATTGAAGGTCATAGACTCACAAAAAACAGCATCTCCTCTGCAGATTTCTTTGCACTCAGTAGATAAGGATATATCAACACCATCATCACCATTGGCCCAGTCACAGCCCCTACAATTATCAACGAACCAGTCATCTACTTTTGCACCAGCCGTGCCACAACCACCACCTCCACCGCCGCCACCACCAGTACCCACTTCATCGGTGAATGCAGAAGGGTCACAGACTGCACCATTGTTAGCACAACTAAGTGGTGCTCCACTGCCTCCTCCTCCTCCCATGACATCAATTAATGTAGCGACACCACAACCGCCTATGAAAACATTATCTGCACACCCACCACCACCACCACCACCTCCCATGATAAGAAAAGAAATAACACTTCCACCTCCACCACCACCACCTCCCATGATAAGAAAAGAAATAACACATCCACCTCCACCACCACCACCTCCCATGACATCAGGAAATGGAGCGGCACCTCCACCACCTCCACCTCCCATGGGATCAAAGGTTATTGCACCTCCACCACCCCCACCTCCCATGGGATCAAAGGTTACGGCACCTGCACCCCCACCTCCACCAGTGACTTCAAATGGAAGAATGCCAGCACCACCTCCACCCATGCCAATGGGAAAAGGAGCTGCACCTCCACCACCACCAGGGTTTGCAGGTGTCAGGAACCTAGGACCTAGGAAAGCAGCCACTAAATTGAAGAGATCATCCCAAATGGGAAATCTTTATCGGCTTCTCAAGGGTAAAGTTGAAGGATCTAGTTTAGATGGTAAAGCAAAGGGGAGAAAGGGAAAAGTTGGTGGTGCTGCACCCACAGGAGGCAAACAGGGAATGGCTGATGCATTAGCAGAGATGACAAAGAGGTAATTAATCCTCCAACTAATTATTTTTGTAGAGGTGTTACTTTCATAGATATTAGATTTATGTATAAAAATTACATCATATGTCTCAGGTCAGCATACCACCAACAAATTGAAGAGGATGTTAGAGTACATGCAAAAACAATCAAGGAGATGAAAACAGCCATTGCCTCTTTCCAAACATCAGATATGTCTGAGCTTATTAAGTTCCACAAAACTGTAGAATCCCACCTAGAGAAACTAACGGATGAATCTCAGGTTTCATATATAACTGTTGTAGTACATAATTCTCCATGATTCCTACTTCAGGGTGTTGGCTTAAAGTAATCTTGATACAGGTGCTAGCAAGGTTCGAAGATTTTCCTACAAAGAAGTTGGAAGCATTGAGGATGGCAGCAGCACTTCATACCAAGTTAGATTCAATAGCCAAAACTCTACAGAATTGGCCAATAGTCCCACCTGTTGGACAACTTCTTGAAAAAGCTGAGAATTACTTCAACAAGGTAGAAACTAAGTTCGCAGTTGATAACTTGTCGATTTTTATATTTCCATTAGTAGCTCTAACAAATGGTTATATCATCTAGATCAAAGGAGAAATGGACACACTGGAACGAACAAAAGATGAAGAATCCAAGAAATTTATAAGCCATAAAATCCACTTTGATTTTGGCATCCTTGTGCGTATCAAAGAATTGATGGTGGATGTTTCCTCAAACTGTATGGAACTGACTTTGAAGGTTAGCACAATGTAAAGCATGTAGCAAATGTAGCAATTCTTATGAAATCACTCACCTTACTATTTTAGTGAACGTCTTTTGAAGTAACACTTGATGTTGAATCAGGAGAGGAGAGAAATAAAGCAAAAGGAAAATGAAGGAGCTGGACCGAAAATTGATGGTCACAAAAAGGGATCAGCTAAACTTCTTTGGAAGGCCTTCCAATTTGCATTCAGAGTCTATACTTTTGCTGGTGGCCAAGATGATCGTGCTGACATGTTGACAAGGGAATTGGCTCAAGAAATCGAGACAGATCCTAATCCAGAGGCATAAAGTTTATACTCATTTCTCCAAAACAAAAAACCCAAAAAAAAAAATGATCACTATAGGTGGCAATATAAAATGCATTGGTGCTCATAAACACTTTTGAGAGGTTTGAGCAATTAGCATAATGAAGCTTTCCCTGGCAGGTGTTTTGTAGATGCTTCTTGATCTGTGGTTACATGCATATTCTAGGAGAGAATTGCTAGACAATATATCCTTCTTTGTTTAGAAGACGGAGAGAAGTGAGCTAAATTCTAGCTTTGCTCTACCACCTGCAATACATACGATCTATTACACCTTTGTGACTGGTTTTGTAGCATGTACATAACCCCGGATCTTCTTTACTTTCAGAATTAAAAGAGTATACATGTGAATGATTGCCTTGTTTATGCATTTTGTATGTTATTTTGTGTAGTCACAGTTGCCTTGTTTCTGCATTTTGTATGTTTTATGTACAGTCACACTATTTTCCAGGAGGTTTGTTTTTGAGTCTTAGTATTTCTTTTCTTTTGGTTAAATAATGTTAAATAACCATTGTTATCATACCATATAATGCATGGTAATAAGAAGTTTTGTTCATACTAACACACTATTTTCTGAAACAATGATGATTATCCTGCAGAAGACATATCATGTCTGTCATTATACCATAAATTGCTTATTTTAACATCCTTATATATGACGATATTACATTATACAGTTGAATTAATATTTGAAACAGGCTGCGTGTTTGTACTTAATTAGTGTCTACAACCATCGTAACATAAGAACAGTAGGTATGAGTAATTGCCCGAAATCCCGCTCTGTCCGTGTTTAGTACACAAGCAGATTAGCATCAACTATATGAGATTAAATAAGTTAGAATGTATGCAAATTATAAATCAAAATTCAAGACTAACTACGTGAAAAAAAATTCAAATAAACTCTTTAAAGCAGAAAGACAAACACCTGGTGGGCTTCTTTTTCACTCTTACAGCCACCTCCTTATTCCAGTTTACCAACTTTAGTCCATTCGACAAAATATGAAGGCTTACCCCAGCGTGATTCTCAAAGACTCAAGCCCACGGCCTTCATGTATTAATTTGTTGAGCCAAGTGCACAAATAACCGTTTTTAGGACAAGTAGTAGTCAAATTTTTTAAAGTGTTACAAAGTTAGTCGTTTAGAAATCAACTTTAGATGTGTGGGTCTAGTGTTGAAATGGTGGATCTGAAGTTTCCAAATTCAGATCTCCGGGTCTAAAGATGGACTCTATCAAAATCAAACATCAAACTCATGTGTGAAGTATGAAGTTCAAATTGAGACCTGAGGTTTGAAGTTAGGTTTTGGTAAAGCCCAATTTTAAATTTGAATTTGAACGTTGGCTTTTCAAACTTCATACTTCAGGTAGAATTTAGGTAATACCGGCTTTGGCAGATCCAAACTTCAAATTTATATATCTGACGAAGAAAAAGCAACAACACGACATTTTTATGAAGTTTGAGAAAATGGCTAAACTTAAAATAGCTTTTCGCATATATTTTTAATAGCGGTGTTACAACTTACAAGCGACCACCTTAGTATCATTTTTACTCATTTGTAACTTTAGGTTCTTTTATTTTAAGGTACAAACCATACAAAAAAAATGTAATATGTATTACATTTTACCTGATTAATGCTTGCTTGATTATAATTTTATTTTCCACATATATAATTACTCTACAACTTATGTGATTATCTTCTACATAATTTAATGAATATGCGTATTAGCAATACATTTATTGAATTATATAAATCTGATTTGTTTTTACTCTTGTTTAGTTAACAAACTTTACTTGTTACCCCTATTGTTTTACTAAATATTTGTAGTATTGATTTTAAAATTATAAGAAAGTGTTTAAAACAAAAAATTTCGTGATTTAAAAGAGGAACTCAATATATTTACTACTATATATATAAATGGCCAACGAGTTCCATATTGCACCAAAAGTTATTTGACTTGTACTATACACTTGGGCCTATTTTATTGGTCACTGATTTCCTTTCTCTAATTCTTTCAACGTGTTGCGTTTCTCTTTTGAGCAAACCAGCTGTCTTTTGAAAAGTAATTTACATCCCTATTACCTCCAACAAACACGTGGTTTTTCCAGGTCCGTTTGGATGCTTTTTCATAATCTCTTTTCTAATTAATCTTTATGTAAGAAAAACTAGTAGATAATATTGACCAAGAACAAGAAGGAAACAAAAATAACTTATCAAAAAATACTGTGTCGTGGCAAGCCACTACCTTGAAAGTGATTTCGGTCCGACTGGGTGCAAATCGTTAAGACTGGTCGCTCCCCAAGATTCCATAGCACCTCCAAACACGTGCACTCGTAACTGAAAGTTTAAAATTTGCACAAAGCAATTGTCCAGATATCGGTTGAAGAAGAAGAGAAGATGAAGGTATTTTTCTATATTTGAAAACTTCACAAAACAACTCCTAATATAGATAAGATGCTAGAGTTGTTACAAGAAGGATAATTAAATTGGGGGTTATGAAAATAAAAGAGTTATTACAAAATTCAAGTAGGAGTTATAAGAATTCAAGTAGCAGTTACAACGATTTAAAGTATAGATGTTACAAAGTAATAAATCAGACATTACAAAATTCAATTCAAAGAGAATGAATTTTGGTAAGCATGTATTTGGACACTTTTCTCGTAAGCTAAAAAAATAAAGAAATAATTTTAGCAAAACCAAATTTGGATTAGACCCACGTATATCTCGCGCGCAGGGGGCAAATCGACCCGTTTTGCCTTCACGACCAATTTCTCATGTGCGTGAGGCCACTCTCTTTTACAAGCTCTTTACAAGCCCAACAAAGAGCAATTCAATATAAAAAGAAGAAAAAGACTTTCCACAACTAATGAGGGACACTTTGTCCTTCACAAAAGACAAAGTGATGGTAGGCTAGAAACCCGTATTTTAGTTGTAGTTTGCACTCTAATTACTGTATTTTACTTGTGTTTGAGCTTAAATATTTGTGTATTGCACTTATTATGTGTGTTTTTGTCTCGCAATAAGTGATTCCGAGCTATTAAGATAATTTGGAGCTAATTTGAACAAGTTGGAGCTTTGAAGTCTGAGTAAAATCTAAAGAATTAAGTCGATATCACGTTCAAGGGTCGAGGACCAAGTCTGGATATCAAAAAGTGAGAAAAAAAGATTACTATGCACTACCGTGCCGCAGGCCCCAGGGCGCTAGTGCAAAATTCCTGTTGAGTAAAAAAAATCAACTCTCTAATGTGGCGGCGCATGGCGCGCCGCACTAGGGTATTTTCGCGGTCCAATTGTCCCACTTTAGCTTGGAAAGGGTAGTTTTATCGAGGCCCGTTCTTACATTTTATAAATACATCAAAAATACGATTTTTAGAGGACCTTTGACCTTGGATGCTTTTGGAGAGCATTGGAGGCTACAAGACACAATATTTCATCATCTTTCCATCAATTCAATACGGGAGTTTGGATTGTAACGTTAGATTGATGTTTTCTTACTCTTTAATTATAATTGTGATGACTTCCTCCTTGATTATGGAGTATTTTCCCTCAGGGTTTGACGGATATGGTGTTTGATTGATATTTTTGGATTTTAACTCTAGTTCTTTGCTTGAATTCGTTTATGGAGCTTTGAATTGATATAACTTTGTTCATCGGTATATTTAATCGAAAGAGGAATATTTTGGTGATTATCTTTGCATTATTGTTTTTGGTTTAATTCAGTGATTTTCTTAAGTAATCGAAAGAGCTTGTTTAATTGTTGATTAAATCAAGTTGGGAGAATATTCGAGAGACGTTTTCCTGAAAACTAATCCATTAGCACATGCTTGCATATTTTCATAGTGCTTATATCACCTCGTAGAGTTAAGATTTAATCGAGAGAGGAGTCTTGACTATACGTTTGAACTAATCATTATGTGAATTCGTGAGAATCATTAGAACATTAGAGTGAATTAAACTAGAGTTAGATCCCAAGTAGCTATCTTGCACCTATCCTGTCAACACCCTTATTTCTCACATTGATAAACCAACTCTGCTAATCTCTAGTTCTTTACAATCAATTGTCAATTGCTTTACTTTTAATAGTTAGTTGTAGTTCATAATCATTCCAACCAAGGTATTAATCATCCTAAATAGTATTTAAGCCAGAAATTACTTTAACTTTGTTTAAATCCAAATCCATGTGAAGACGATAATTAAATTATACTATCTTTGGCTAGCGAGCATCAGTTTCGTGTTGTGTTTTGCGCTCATCAAATTTTGGCGTTGTTTCCTGGAATTGGCAATCAATAGTATTCAAATTAGTTTTTGGTGATAATTCATGAACCAATTTTATTTTATTCTTCACGGTTTTTCTCTTTCGTGTGCAGGCAACAAGTTAAGCTCTTTGGTGTATGACTCGATCTTCTTCTAAGGAAGTGATTCCATATGATCCAGAGGTAAAAAAACGTCCGCGACAGTTGAGGAAAGAGAAAGAACTCACCGGGAAATTCTTGGGACAATCTTCAACCCATGAGAACATGGATAAAAACGGTGAGGAGATAGTTGATTTGGCTGCACGGGAAGCAACCCGATAGGAAGTAGCCACACGGGAAGCTACTGAAGCATCTCTCAGAGCTGATGAAATGGTGGACGAGAATGGAGGATGAAGATTCAACCTGAACTGACCTTTGGTTTAAGACGAATTTGAAAATAATACGCCCAGTCCTGGACGATCACTGAGAGACTATGCCGGGCTAGTCTACAACCAAGGAGTATTTAGTGTGCGACCCCCTATGATCGCAACCAATAATTTTGAGATCAATCAAGGGTTAGTTCAGACCATTAAGAACAATTGTGTCTTCCGTGGCAAACCCAATGAAGATCCAAATACTCATTTGATGGATTTTGATGAGATTATGAATACCTTCCAGCACAACGGAGTATCAAAAGATGCTATCTACTTAAGGACATTTCCTGTTTCATCGAGGGAAGATGTTGAGCACTGGTTTAGGAGTTTGCCTACTGGGTTAATTCAAACTTTGGAAGACATGACAAAGAAGTTCCTTGAAAAATACTTTTCAGCTGCAAAAACAGGAAAAATGCGAAGAGAGATCCACATCTTCGAGCAGAAAGAGACAAAAACGGTGTTTGAAGCATGTGCAAGATTTAAGGATATTGTGAGAAGATGTCAGCATCATAGGGTAGAATTGTGGATGCAACTCGAAGATTTCTGGGATGGTCTAACACCCTCTGGTAGGAGGACGCTAAATAACACAGTTGGAGGTCCTCTAACGAAGAAAACTCCTAAGGAGATTGTTGCAATTCTGAATGAATTATCTGAAGATACAAATCAATGGCCTGCAGATGATAACCATAGAAGAAAATTAGCTAGGGTGCACCAGGTAGACACTAACACATCAGTACAAGCCCTGCTAGAC